TTTAACATATTGTGTCGCTGCACAACAATGTACATTGAAAATATTTTACGGGTTAAACCAATTAAACCCGTTACAAAGTCAAAGAAAATATGTATTACAAAAAATGTCATATAAACATAAATTTACCCATTAATAATTTGTTTCATTTTGTGTTCGTGTGGTTTATGTAATGAACACAACGTCGTTATCATATTCTTCTTAAGCGATATGATGATCAATTGTCAATGATCACTGGATAAACACAAGGATATATATAATTAGTTTTTTCTAAAAAAACTAACTATAAAAGATAAACCACAATTTCCAAATTAGTTACGCACTGAGAAATTGTGTGAAGTAACATTCTTTTCTCCCTTGACCTAATTGTTTCGAAATGTAGGTCTCAATATATTTTGGCTTATTATTTATTCATCGAATACTAAACGGATCTAATATTCCATAAATATTATATTTATTTAACTTTATACATACACGACGAATGTACCTAAATGGTTAAACAAAATTCAAATAATAAGTAAGGAAATATAAAAAATGATAATTTACTATAATAACATGCATTTTCAAATATACACTTATGTGCATCAAACATGTAATATCCCTACGTCCAGCTAATTACCACCATATAGAAAATCTCGTATGTCATTAGGACAAACATAGAAGAGCTCTACCGATGGACAATGCTCTAGAGAAAGAGGATATGATTCATCACTTTCTGAGACCTCCCCATGAGTCCGGTCCTCCCAGAGTGCACCACAGAGATTTACACGCGATACTGCATGATTTTGAGAGTCACTTGGTACCGGAGGAGTATCGTTGGAAGCTAACTCATGTGAATTGGGTTTGTGGTTAGGGTTACTTGACATGGTTTTATATGGTGTCACACTCTATCATGAAGCCAGACGCTCTTGGAGGATCACCAAGGTCATCTAACCAAGAGGTACTTGAGGTTCTAGATGAGCAGGAAGAGAGCGTGACAATGGTATGTCGGCGTGTTACGAAGATGAGTAATGCAAGCATAGAGTCATGACTCTTTGATGATGACAGTCCTCAGTTGTTCTTAGTGGAATGCATGGTTTCTGAGTTACGGAATGTTGTGCAGTATAGGCGGTGAAGGAGGCCGACAATTAGACATACCCAATAGTTTATATTGAGATTTTCTTTTTGTATTTTTGGACAAATATTATGTTTGAATTTTCTTGACTTTTTTATTAATGTATGAATTTTCAATTTTATTTAACTTTAATATAATTTCATTTTACTTTGATTTTACATTAATATAAATTAATATAAGTTTGCCTCACAAAAATTGAATGATTGGACATTGATGTTGTTCTTATATGATTAATGGAGGATTCCGAATATGTATCTCTGAAATAATTTCCCCTTTGTATTTTCCACGCTTTGAAAAACTTTCAATGTACATTTCACATATGCATCTCTGAATACACTGAATATTATTCACAGCTCAAACACTTAAGAAATGATACTTACGTAGCTTAAACATCTTGGCTCAAGACTTGTTGCTTGAATCCCAATGAGACAAGACTTTTTTTCTCAAGCACATAGCAGGAGATTTAATCTAAACTACTGAAGGCTCAGTAGTATAGAGAATAATGTATACATGATACAAGTATCAGAGGTACGGGAAATCACCATAACAAAGACCTAAAGCACTTAAGATTTCTAATATATATAGAGATTAGAAATCTTAAGGCTTTTACAATTACAACCTAAAACAGAAAATTTGTATATTACATTAGAGTTGATAACTGCTTGATCTTACTACTCCTTCATTAGAAGAATCCTTGTTAAGATTCAAACTTGAATCTTCGGCCATGCACTAGTCGTTGAGAAAGCGACTTGATCAAGTATATTTGTGTTTACTCCGTAGTACAATAGATGTTGAAGATTTATGCACAACAGATTCTGAATCCAATGTGTAACAAGTTTAACCTTTGCGTCTTCAAGAGGTTTTGTACTGATAGAGCCGTTGGAAGCAGACGTCCGTAGAGCATGTCAACCATTCTTGAGCCTTGCAATCTTGTAGACTCTACCTGACAAGCTGATAAGACAATACAACTTGCTTTCTACAGTATGAAAAATCCACAACTTTATCACCAACTCTGAATGGTACCAGATGCTGATATGTAATTACCAAGTGTAGTAACTCGTCTGAATGGTGATGCCTTCAGCTCAGAGTCTGCGCCAAGCTACACTAACAATTGTTCTTCAGACTCTACCACCAGAAGTTAGCAATGAAACAACTCTCAAGTGTGCCTAAGTAAAACTGATTCTGATTATTTATGTATAAGAACAAGAATCTGCATGAATAAAACACACATCAAATAAATTATTATTCTTTTAATACTTTTGTTATCATCAAAATTAAAAGAGAATGTGTCAAGAACAAATCTTGTTCTAACAGAGACTATGCATGGATGTTTCAAAGGAAGCTTAGATTATGTTTTTCCGCTATGTATATTGTACAATGACTGATATTGTACTCAGATCTTAGATTTTATTGTATTGACACTTTCTATATTTTGTATCATAGGTTATTTTTATTGCATTAGAAACGGTCGAGTATGTAAATATTATCAATATGTACTTATGAGTGTGTCAATACCAAATAATTACACTTGTATGATATTATTCTAGATATATATTATATGGGACATTACACATACAAGGGTCACCACCAAACACATCAATTTGAGGTTATTTCCTTATACTTCTGTTGGCTGAGATATGGGGCATTTTATATGTATCTCAATTTACCCCAGCGAGTGATGCGACCATTCTCCTACTTGCAGATTATTCCGAGACCTCCCCATGAGTCCGGTCGTCCCAGAGTGCACCACAGATATTTACATGCGATACTACATGATTTTGAGAGCCACTTGGTATTAGAGGAGTATCGTTGGGAGCTAACTCATGTACATTGGGTTTGTGTTCAGGTTTACTTAACCAGAAGGTACTTGAGGTTCTGGATGAGCAGACAAAGAGCTTGACAGCGGTATGTCGGCATGTTGCGGAGATGATTAATGCAAGCATAGAGTCATGACTCTTTGATGATGATAGTCCTCAGTTGTCTTCAGTGGAATGCATGATTTCTGAGTTACGAAATGTTGTGCAGTACAGGCGGCAGAGGAAGCCAGCAGATAGACATACCCAATAGTTTATATTAGGATGTTTTGTCTTTTATTTTTTTGTATTTTCGGACAAATTTTATGTTTGAATTTTTTTAACTTTTGTTTTATTAATGTATGAATTTTTATTTTTCTTTAACTTTAATATAACTTCATTTTACTTTGATTTTACATTAATATAAATTAATATAAGTTTGCCTCGCAAAAATTGAATTTTCAAACATTGGAGTTGTTCTGATATGCTTAATGGAAAATTTCGAATATGTATCTTTAAAATAATTTTCTTTTTGTATTTTTCACGCTTTGAACAACTTTCAATGTAGATTTTACATATGCATCTCCAAATACACTAAATATTAAACGTATATGCATTTGCGAATCATATTTTTGTTCAATATTAAGTGGATCTCATAATAATGTATTTTAATTGTACATATGTGATATCCTGATATACTAATTGGTGACAAGTGAATATTATGTTACTATCAAATTAATAAACTATGTCGTGTCGGCAAGCTTAACTTTACACTATTAGAGAAATTTATCAAATCCACAAAGAATGTTTTATTTTAACAGCTATTAGTACTTCTCTAAAATGTGGAACCCATCACTAATAATTTACCCCTCTTGTCACTGTCATCCGAACTTTTCGTACTTTAATTTCATATTTTAATAAGCTCGTGTTTCTTGCTTCAATAAATATATACAAACATATGTTCATCAAAGGGACCAATATTATCATTGTACTTCTAAGGAAGAAGATAATGTACTAATCGCTGGCAAGTGAATGTTATGTTACTATCAAATTAATAAACTATGTCGTGTCGGCAAGCTTAACTTTACACTAAGAGAAATCTATCAAATCCCAAAAAAATGTGTGGTGGAAAATGTGGCAGGACACACAAGATTTGTCTATAAATTACAACATGTAAAATGAATTAATGCAACACACAACAAAACATAAGACCAACTTAATAACTACTTCTTTCAATTCATTCAAGCATTATGGCTTATGCTAAGCTTTCTCTCGTGCCTCTCTTCTTGCTTGCCATATTAGGTATGTCTTCTTTCATTACTACTTGATGTATGTTACTTTTAAAGTTTAAGATCCGTACAAGTCTCCGGTAAATAAATAAGAGAATTTTGGAAAAAAGAATTTTTTATATAAAGAATGTTTCTTAAGGTTTATAATTAAAATAATGCACTGAGTATCTTTATTGTGCCTGAGAAATGTTATTGTTACGTCAATATATACATTATACCGTATTTTAATATTCATTGTGAATAATAGAATATTATAATAATAAAATAATATTTTTTTAAAATATAAAAATTAATTTTATTTTATATCTAAACATTTTTTAGTCAATTTTATAACTTTATTAATTTTTTATATTATATTAACCAATTTTGTTTTATTTGTTAAAAATTATTTTATATTTGGACGGTTATTTACCAACTTCACAACTTCATTAATTAATTTTTTACATTATATTAACCAACTTTGTTTTACTAGTAAAAATTATTTTTAGTATCTAGACATTTGTTAACGAATTTCATAATTATATTAACCAATTTTTTAAAATTTATTAACCAATTTTAATTTATTATTAAAAGTCATTGTTCATTTGCTTTCACGAATACTATTCACGGGTGTTGTTCATATATATGACACTGTTTACATGACACTGTTCACACAACTGTTTATGTACAGTTTTATTGTTCACGACACTGTTTATTGTATTTGTAAACAGTGCATACGGTATAGGTGTAAAAAAAGTGTAAAAATAGCATTGCTGATTGTGTATATATCAAATTTTTTTTAAATTACTTTTGACATCACCATTGTAGTGTTGATGTTTCCGATGAAGAAAGTAGAAGCAGATCTTTGTGAGAAATTTGCTTGTTCCAGATCTGACCCGGTGTGTAATGATGGTTGTCATTGTATACTTTCTAAGGGTGCGGAGGGTGGTGTTTGCACAAGAAACAAACATGTAGCTAAGAAGGTGGAAGAGCATCCTGACTTATGTGAGTCTCATGCAGACTGCACAAGAAAGGGAAGTGGGAGCTTCTGCGCTCGTTATCCGAATTCGGATCTTAAATATGGCTGGTGTTTTGACTCTAACTCTGATGCCGAAGCCTCGTTCAAGAATGCTTTTAGCTCTGAATTCTCTAACTTGAAAATGCCTTTAGAAGTTTCCAGTTAATATGTACAAGAAAAACCATGCATGCATGATCTCTCTACTTAAATAAAATTGTTATGTATGTCTTTACTTCCAACTAAGTTTGGATTTGTTAGACACTAAGATTTCATAAATAATGTATGCATGTGTAATCTATGTTTTTACTTTGCAAGTTATGGAATCTAATGACTCTATCTATGTTTTCCTGTGTCGTTGTTATCTATAATTTTACTTTGCAAGTTATGGAGTCTATTGACTCTATGTATGTTTTTACTTCAACATAGTGTCTCCCTAAATAAAACATGTTAATTTTGTGAAGTAATTAATTTCTGAATCTAATTCTTCCAAAACATTGCTCAGTTTGTTGTTTCTTATTATCTGTAGTTGGTCAATTGCTTGTGTTGCTGCACTGTGCATCAAAACTGGCTTTATTTTTTTCACAGTATATTATATCTTATATATACATTGTTCTATTTAACATGTTTATGATGGGTAAAAATGATGTTTTTATTTTATGTAGGACTTAATAAAAAAGGAGGAGGATTGGATTTATACAAGTGTGAATTGGATTCATCAATACTGTTATCTTATTGTTATAAAAAGGAGTAGGATTTAAATAGAAACGAGCATGATTGGATTTTTATGTTTAATATTGATAAATTTTGTTGACATTCTTTTATATATATATTTTTTCACTACAAGAAAACATGAAGTTTCCTACGTTATTTAATTTAATGACGTGATATTCATGTGGGAAATAATGGAGGTTGCGACTTGTATATCACGTCACTAAATTATTTTATTAATAAACAAATGAGATTCATGTTTGCAAATGGTGGATGCAGGTTTTCCGACGTGGAATACACGTGAGACTTATTTTGACCTGACAAATTTTATTACCGTTGAAACATATTTATTTTGGTCTGACCTAAGACTTATTTATTACAAGTCTTTCAACGTGGACTTCTTGTGACAAATTTTCAACGTGATTCCCACATCGCTAGGATCAAAACATTTATTTTGGTCTGCCTAATTTTATTACCGTTGAGACTGTAACGTTAAAATATTTATTACCTAGAATATGTTCCGACGTGGGAAACACGTGACTTCTTTCCCACATGATAATCACTTCATAAACTTCACTATATATTATCCCCAATCTCCAGAACTCACCATTTCATTTTATTGTTCCTCTTTTCTTCTTCGTTCCGTTTCTGTTTTCTCTCTTTAAGAGGAGCTCATCATTTCATCCACACCATACCATTTTAATATGAGGTTTTCATTTTCAATCAAAGGTATGATTCATGTCTTCCTCCTTATTTAATATTCTTTTTATTTTTATTTTTGTTTTACATTTTATTTTAATATTTTCTAATTTTAAACTTTTAATGTTTATCGTTAAAAGAAAAATATTTGGAAGATTCAAGAGGAGCTCATCAAGATTCAAGATACAAATTTTGTTGTTGCTTCATTGAGATATTTTTATAATTTAAATTATTTATTTTTTAGATTTTTGTAATTTAAATTATTTATTTTTCAGATTTATATGAATAAAATTTACCGCTGGCGTCTTGGGTTCCTACCACCGCAAACACTTTACCGCTGGCCTGAGACGCCTGAGACTTCTTCGGCTTCTCGCAATGCGTACTGATATGACCTTTCTCACCACAGTTATAACAGGTAGGCATATTGGCTCTACAATCAGCTACCACATGGCCCGACTTACCACACTTGAAACACTTCTTCACCTCCTTAGGACAATCATTAGCACGATGACCCGCGCCACCGCACCGAAAACACTTCAAATCAGCAGATAATTTCCCCTCTCTGGGCTTCTTATCAGCAGCAGTCTTATGTTTTCCCTTATCAGCAGGAGCACTGGAAGGAGTGCCACCACATCTCTGCTTACCTTTACGATCATTCACAGCCTTATAATGTGTAATCCTGGCCCGGTTATCATTATCGTAAATTCTGCTTCTGCTTACCAACTCAGGATAACTCCTGATCTTCTGACAAGAAATCCCCAATTTAACTTCCGGACGCAACCCATTCTCAAATTTCAAACACTTGGAAGTCATTGCCATTTCAGTATTGTAATGAGGATAATACTGCACCATCTCTTCAAATTTCGCAGCATACTCTGCCACAGTCAGATTACCCTGCTTCAGCTCTAGGAACTCGATCTCCTTAGCACTTCATATGTCTTCCAGAAAACCCTTTCGAACCACCTCCCAAGTAATCGCAGTTCCTGCAGTCTCCAATCTCTGGCGACTGTTGTCCCACCAAGCCTCAGCTTCCCCTTCCAACATGTGAGTACCAAACCTCACCTGTTGCTCATCACTACAGTCCATCATTTTGAAAATCTTCTCAATTGCCTTCAGCCACTTCTGTGTAGCTTCAGGATCCAAAATTTCTCCTTCAAACGTTGGTGGTTTGTTACTCCGAAACTGTGCCAAATCCCGGAATTGCGCACCCGCAGCTTGGTTCTAATTAGCAACCACCTGCGTCATTGCTTGCATAGCAGCAGCCAAAGCAGCATCATTCCTTCCTGCCATACTGCTCAACAATAACAACACCAGGTTAACAAGATACCCAATCTCTATCCTAAGGACAGACTCAGACTCCACTACTACACTGGCCGGACGGACCGACCTGCTCTGATACCAATTGTAACACCCCACTTCCCAAATTCAAATAAAATGCGATTAATTCAAATAAACATCATAGTTTCTTCCACCAAGTGGCATATCACATCAAATAATTCCTCATATTTCCTTATCAAAAAGGTTTTCAAAATAAAACAGCGGAAAATATTCATTAGTTCAACATTCACGGCCACCTGCCCAATTACATGAAACAGTCCTTAATAAAATTCATCCACATGATACGTCGCAGGAAAATAAAATAAGTTCAACATGAAAACAAATAACGCCCAAGTCCCGTGCTACGTATCAGAGCATCCTAAGACTCGACTCGCACACCACTATCCAAGTTAGCTAAGTACCTGGATTATCTGTACTTCCGAAGAAGCACAGACCACAACAACAACAAAAGGGTGAGTAAACATGATCAAAATTATAGGTAATTAAATACATGGAACTACAGGAAGAAATCACATAGATATCACCCAACATACACCAATCACGACCTACTGTCCAAACATCAAACACAACGTATAATAATGCAATTATGCAACTCAACACCATGCATGCGGTACCGACTCATTGGTTCATTCAATCGAACCCCGGATAGATCACATACACCCCTCCTTGGCAATGATCTATCCCTCACCATTATCCACAAAGGAGTACGAATGAATCACATACACTCCTCCTGAGCAATGATTCATCCCACCAAAACACCATGATATGCAAGACACCAAATGCACAACAATAACAAAAGCACACTGAGTGCACACGATCCTCCTGTTCACATCATCATACATCACACACACATATTATTCACCAATCAATTAATTTATTTAAAATCACACGATCCTTCTGATCACCTTATCATACATTACATATACATATACACCCCAATCCATTATTTTAATTGAATCCCCACGATCCCTCTGATCACCTCACCATACCTCATACACGTCTCACACATCAATTTAATTATTTCAATTAAATTCAATACTACATAATTTCACCTATTACTCACCAAGTACATACTCGTCACCACTAAATACCACATATGTACCTGTCCCAGCCCAAGGGATCCTACCAAACGTACCACAACGCAATACAACACAAAATCACATTCTGTCGCGCTCGCTGGCTCATTCGCTTAGCGAAGCCCTGGCGAACGCTCGCTAGCTGCTCGCCTAGTGAACTCCCTAGCGAAGGCAGACAGTGGCTACTGGAAGCCTTCGCTACCCATCTCGCCTAGCGAACACTCGCTACTAGCTCGCCTAGCGAACTACCTAGCGAATCGCTCGCTAGCTCACTTGCTAGCTACTCGCTTAGCGAGTTCTGCGATCTCTCAAAACCCTCACAGTCCAGAACTGTTATCTTGCTCAAATTCAAGCCTATCACTCTACTTCTATCTTCAGTCCTATCAATACTACGACCAAAAAACTTTACTCTATCATTTTCTATCAATTTTAACTCCAGAACCCACACCTATGTTCATCATCAGAACTACAGAAGTTACTCAGAACATCACCACTCTCACATCAACACATACCCAAGGTCATCAATGGTAGCCATGACCATAAACACATCACTGCACATACAATTCATCATACCAACAACAATAATTATCAACATTTCAATATATCATTCATATTCACCAAATTCCTACGGGGTTAAGGAATCCCCTCTGCCCTGTTCATGCAATTTACCAATCTTAACCCGTTTCTCCCCCCTTACCTTGATTAATGCTCCGATTGACGAAGAACCTTCAAGAATCGTTAGCCCTAGCCTTCTTCCCTTCTTCCTCTTGTTCTTCCCTCTTACTTGTTCTAAAACTGATTTTTATCGTGTTCTCTCTTTCTTCTCTCCAAAACTCCCTAATACCCCTTAATTTCTTATTTTATTTATTCAATCCAATAATAATAATAACTCATAATAATAGCAATAATAATATTAACAATAATAGTCATAATAATAATAATAATAATAATAATAATAATAATAATAATAATAATAATAATAATAATATTACCATTAATTATTATATTACCACCAATATTATTCATATTTTATTAATATCAAATTCCATACTTATTAAACAATTCCTATAACTTAAGGGTACCCACCACGCACTCAGACACACCCCCACACAAGGACACACCAAACAAAATAACACCAAAAAGACTAAATAATTAAAATGGGTGTTACACCTATTGTTTCAATAGATGCTGATGGTGATATCAGATGATCTTTCTGACTTAGTGTCGTTGCCTGCGCGTTAGCATATGTTTCTTCCGACTGCGTGTCGATACTTTCTAGTTGATAATCAGTTAGTTTGTTACCATTGCAACTATCAGATTCCATTATTTCCGGAGATTTTTGTCC